AAGTTTTTCCTGAAAATGCTCCATACCTCACATTTTTCTTTCCAGAGACAAGATAATAAGTTGTTAGGTCTATTGTTGAAGTGACTTTCGTCAACAACAAGAATTTTTCGCCCTAAGTTCCAACAGATATTCAGAAACAAAAGATACAAAAACATATAATCACAACCACTCAAGTAAAAACTGTACAATTCCAATGGCAGGCCAAAAAAGATAGATTTTCAATTTGATTTTCTCTATACAAACAAACTAATCCAGAAAACAAGAATGATTGTTATTAAAGCTGCACTTAATATCAGAAAAGGCAACACTCAAGTACAATATAAATCAAATCCACATCCTTCTTTCGTAAGTTCGTAACTATAACATTCTTCTGAAGATATTATTTGTCAGGAAAACAGAAACAAATTAGAAGCTGAACACGGAAAACGGAAGAAAAAAAAAATCAAAATTAGTAGCATAACCAGTTCCTAAACAGAAATTTAAGACTATTCCACCAAATCCATCACAAACAAACACAGTAACACACTCATATAATTCGACGAAAGGCTACCCTCATAAAAACCCTAATTGAATTCAAAAATTGGTAGCGCAAATTAGAATCGAAATGTATCTAAACATTCTACTGCACAAATATCTGTCTTTTCAATCAACAGATGACCAACCCAGAAGCATTCTCACAAATTAACAAACACCCATCACAGAATTACACCAAAAACTCAAACTTTACACAAGACAGAGAAAATTACCTCTTAATAACATAACTACAGGGCTTATAGAGCTTCTGCTTCGAATCCGAAAGAATATGGAGGTGACAAAAGCTCGTCATTGCCATGGCCTTCGTCTTGCACTCTTTAAAAGCGCATTGCAGTTTCTTTTTCGAATCGAAGTCGGCCGCAGGACCGCCATTGTTGTTGTTATTGTTCTCATCAGTTCCTTCAGCAACCCCAGCGGCGTCTCTCTCGCTCCTGTACTCTTCTTTGTAAGGGCTGACGCCGTACTTCCACCAGTACTCCCTGTACCAAATCCTGAGATCCTCCATGAGGGCCCAGTAGTGGGCTTTATAGCATTTGATGAGTTGCTTGAGGAGGTAGGAACGGCGGCGGAGGAGCTGTTCGCGCGTGATGTGGGAGGCGCGTGAGAGGGCGATTTCTTCTTGGAAGGGTGGGATAGGAGGGATTGTAGAGGTAGAAGGGTTAGGGATTAGGGTTTCAGGGATGGGATTGAGGGTTATGGGGTTCTTGGGAGGTTTGTAGCAAGAGGGAGCATGAGTCTTGGAACCAGAGGCAGCCATGGGAGGAGGGATGTGGGGGAGAGGGGGGTAAGGGTTGTTTGGCTGTGCGTGTGTTTGAGAGAGTCGGAAACAACTTCTGGCCCTAATAAAAGGCATAAAAAAATGGTGGTTTAACGAACGGTTTATTTTACTATTTATTACATATTTATTCATTTTCATTAAAATTGAAGTTTTTTTTTCTTCACTTTTTGTTAGTTTTTCTTAAAAAAAAAAAGAGTAAACTGTCGGTTTACCCCCTGAACTTTCACCTCACTTTCGATTTCCCCCCTGAACTTTTCCATTGGAAAATTAAGGACTCAAACTAATTTTTTTAGCCAATTTACCCCCTACCGTTAGTTTTTCATATATTTCATCCATATTTCCGTTAAGTGAGACCATGTGCACAACATGTGAGGGTAGTTAAGTTATTTCACTCTTAAAAATGATTAAAAAACTGAAAATAATAAAAAAAACAAACTTTCCCTCTATTTTTTCTCGCTAATTCCTATCCTCGATTTTATTTTTCCCTCTCATTCCTATGCATGAGAAATGACATATGGTGTTATTGTCTACCATTTTTATTTTCTCTAACAAATTAATAATTTGACAAATGCTAATGGTGCTATTGTCTCCAAAGCAGTGCATTAATATAAGAAACCCTAGTCTTTTTTATGGACATGTTTCTTATATTAATGCACTGCTTTGGAGACAATAACATCATGAGCATTTGTCAAATTATTAATTTGTTAGAGAAAATAAAAATTGTAGTACATGCTTCAAAAAAAAGATTAACTTAGCTACTTATGAAGACAATAACACCATATGTTATTTCTCATGCATAGGAATGAGAGGGAAAATTAAAATTGAGGATAGGAATTAGCGGGAAAAAATAGAGGGAAAATTATTATTATTATTTATTTTCAGTTTTTAATCATTTTTAAATTGAAATGACTTAACTATCCTCACATGTTATGCACATGGTCTCACTTAACGGAAATATGGATGGAATATATGAAAAACTAACGGTAGGGGGCAAATTGGCTAAAAAAATTAGTTTGAGTCCTTAATTTTCCAATAGAAAAGTTCAGGGGGGAAATCGAAAGTGAGGTGAAAGTTCAGGAGGTAAACCGACAGTTTACCCAAAAAAAAAAGATAAGCAAAAAAGGAAACCAATGGTCCAATAGTTGAAACAAATTTCAGCCTCATATTCTATACAACATGTTTTAGTTTGATTTCGTACTTCGTACGCTAGTGATATACAAGATAGTGGCTAAAAGTCAAATTACTCTCCAAATTTTTCTCCCAAACCCAATCCAACCCAAGGGAAAATTTTGGGCTAAATGCTAAATGTTAAACCAATGCCAAATTCCCCCAAAATTTAGCCCAGAAATTGGAATTTAAAATTTTCGATATTTATCGAAATTTAAATTTTTTTAGATTAAAATGTTTATAAAATTAATTTACGATAAGCTTCAATTCTTAACAAGAATCTTGTAAGTTTGAAATCTCATAATTATTCATAGCAACCGTCTTTATATTTGGATCATGAGATTTTGGAAGTTGGAGGTGAGCCGCTAAAAAAAGGACCTTGAATTCTTAGACATTTCAATCTGTTGTACATTTATAAAGTTTTTTAAACAATCATTAGTTTATCATTAAATCGTGCTCTAGACCATTAATGATCAACATTAAGCTAAAGATTTCAAGAGAATAAAGAACAATAAAACCTTATTGACGAATGTAATAAATTTAATAGCGTCAATTGACTCTATTTTGTTGTTCTTAGAATCAACATCACAATCACGAATATTATAATCAACAATGATTCAATAATAAATTATTGAAAAATAAAATATAAATTCACAATTTTGATTACCTCAAATTATAATCTTCAAGACCATGTGATAGTTAAATCACAATCTTTCTGGCGTTTGTGAATTTCACGATAGTGGTCATAAGAGACTGAAATGTTTTTGTGAGTCTTTTCGATCTTTGAAATAATGGACTGTCGTGGCGAAGCCACCAATTAGTCATTTAAAAAAAAAAGATTTAGGTTTTACTACTTTATAAGTTGAAGAGGAAGGCAAAATATGATATGTGTTTTTTCTATCCGACCCTTTTTTATGATTTTGTTGATCTTTGTTATTTTTTATTGGAGGGTCATTAATTCTATGTGGAATAAATTTGAAAAAGAGTAAAAAACAACTGACTAAAGTGCAACTCCGAGTATAAAACTGCACACAAGAAAAAAGAGGCAGACCATCTCCATTGCATTCACAACTCAATTATAGTGTGTCGCGTCCCGGTCTGGGTACGCACTACATTTCGGGTACGATTTCACCGTAGCACGATATTGTCTATTTTGGGCTCTGACCACGCCCTCACAGTTTTGTTTATGGGAACTCATACGAAAACTTTTCAGTGGGTCATCCATCCTGGGATTGCTCTCTCACGAACTCGCTTAACTTCGGAGTTCCGATGAAACCCGAAGCCAATAAACTTCCAAAAGACATCGTGTTATAGGAGGTGGGTATGTACATATAAGGCATATCACCCCCTCTCCATTAGTCGATGTGATATGTTACATGGTGTCCCTTAGATTTTTGATGTACATATAAGGCACATCAAGAGGTCGCACTTGGTGCGATGGCAAGTGCCTTTGCCCATGAGCGGTAGATCTCGAGTTCGAGACTTGGGAGCAGCCTCTTCATAAATGGGGGTAAGGCTAGCCGATATTCACCTCTCCCAGACCCTGCGTAAAATGGGAGCCTTGTGCACTGGGTACGGCATTTTATCTGTAGGACATAAATTTGAGGCCCCTGAGATTGAGGGCCCTAAGTTATTGCCTTACCAAGTTACCCTTACAAGTTACAATCGGGCCTCCCGACCCTAAAATCGAGATTACCACACCGAAAAACATAGTGGTGATGACAGTGGTGTATTCACGATTCAACATTGGAGGAACCTAGAGGTCTAAGGGTTTTAATAGAAACTGAGAGCGAAACGCGTAAAAAAAAAATATTTAGCTTATTCATTAAGTTATTTTGTCGAATATTTAATAGGTTTGTTATTATCCATCAAACAATGTTGCACACATGTCATCAAATATCAACATAAGCCGAAGCAATATAATGAGTGTTATAAAAAACTAGTCGAGTGCTCTTGATACAACCTGTCTATATCTATATGTATTTTATGCTTATGTGAGTTTGTAGTTAATAAAAAATAATTTACTAACATGAGATTTTATTTAATTGTAACTTATTTTTATTTTACTTTGTGAACTTTTTCTATCTCAAAAACCATAATGTTTCAATCAAATTAGAATGCATGAGATGTGTTGACGTTTAAAAGATTATAACTCGTAAAATGTTTAATGTTTTTTATTTAAGTGTTGAATAGACTTAAATCGATTGAGTCAAACTGAATCAAACCAATTAAAACCAATTTAGTTTGATTTGATTTCAATAATAGTACCAATCAATACCAAACCAAACGTAATCTCTCAACGATAAACGATATTATCTATACTAAGGGGGACAATAAACTTAGTCTCACAATAGGGTAACAATAATGTGTTTCAAATTCACCTTTGATGAGAATCAAATTTAAGTCCTCTCATTTACAAATAAAGAAGAATATCACTAAACTTATTACCGAATCCAAATTGAATCCCCACTAGAAATGACGGGTACCTAATTTTTTTCTTATCAATTCCCCTAAAAAACTGAGACTGTCCGAAACCGAACCCAACATAAACCTTTCGCACACTCTCTCTCGTTTACGCTTTCCCTAGTTGAAAAGCTTCCGCCCTTCGCTCTGTGGCCCTTGAAGCTAAATCTAGGGTTTTTCTCTCAAATCGCAGACCTCGATCGGCCCTTGCTCCGGTGAGCGGCACGTACCTCGAACCAAGCGGGTCGTCTCCTTTTGTTTCTTCTTCAACTGGGTTATCTTTATCTTTCTGAATTTCAGGCTGCGAATCGGATTTGCTTTCCCGAAAAGCTGATTGAAACGAAGGATTATCAATTCAAAAGTTCTTCTGCAAAATTCTTGGTGCTGCATTCTTGGAGTCCATAGCCCTTCAAAGAAGAAGAGAGTGGAGGTGTGGACAAGCACCAATCGAATTTGGTAGGGTTCTTGGATTATCCCGGTGCTATCCTTCAGGTATTAGCAGTAAATTTGGGAAATTTCGTTGTGTATGTTCAATTTTGGCTATTGGGTTCTGATGATGCCCTTTGTTTGGTTAGAGATATAATCAGTTCTGAAGTAGAAGAAAGGAACAATGGCGATAGCGGCCCCTGGGCAGCTCAACCTCAACGAGGTCCCTTCATGGGGTTCCAGAAGCGTCGACTGCTTCGAGAAACTGGAACAAATTGGCGAGGGAACCTATGGGTTAGTTCAATTCAAAGCATCTCGATACTCCAATTTTCAGTTGTATTAATATTTTTTCAGTAGTGTCAGTTTTGGGCTATAGTTTGGGGCATCTTTGATTCTGTTGTTTCTGGTTTGATGTTTTGACAGATAATTTGATGTTTGGTCAGTGAACTTTAATTGTAAAAGTTAATATTGCAATTTGCTCCATTTTTTTGTAGGTCTCATATGGGTATTGATTATCGACAACAAATATATAAACAGAGTTGTTATTGTACTTTGACCCTCACGGGGGAACTGAAATAGTTGTTTTTTGTTATGAACTTGCTACTGCAATGTCTTGATGAATGTGCGAAATAGATCTATTGAATAATGAGTCTGCTGATAAGGCATTACCACAATTTGTTCATTGTGCTAATTATACCTCATACATCACTAACAAGGCACTGCATGCTGTAGTCACCGGACAGGGGACAATAGTTATTGACATCCCAATGCCTTGGTAAAAGAAAGATCAAGATTTGGACACTGATATTTTCATTTGGAAAGCATTTTGATTTCTTGTGTCTGTCTTATTTTTTTATTCACTAAGTTGTAGAAGACATAACTATTCAAAATCTACAGGGCATTAGATATTTGATTTGTGTTGTTTCCACAACAGACGTAGTAAAGCTCTCTGTTTAGCACTTAAGTTTTTTCTTTTGTGTTTACCTCAACACATAAGTGTACTGAAATGTTGTTTACCAGTATATAATTTTACATGAATAGAACAGTGGCCCAAATTACAACATCTTTCCTATTTCAACTTTTGGGTTAAGAAATCTATTCCTACCAAAGTGTATGTAGCTTTTCCTATAGTACCTCTGTTACTATGATATTATAAAGCCTCTTCTGAAGGAAACTTAAACGCAGCCACAACAACAACAACAACAACAACAACAAAGCCTTTTCCCACTAAGTGGGGTCGGATATATGAATCCTAGAACGCCATTGCGCTCAGTTTTGTGTCATATCCTCCGTTAGATCCAAGTACTCTAAGTCTTTTCTTAGGGTCTCTTCCAAAGTTTTCCTAGGTCTTCCTCTACCCCTTCGACCCTGAACCTCTGTCCCGTAGTCACATCTTCGAACCGGAGCATCAGTAGGCCTTCTTTGCACATGTCTAAACCACCGTAACCGATTTTCTCTCCTCTTTCCTTCAATTTCGGCTACTCCTACTTTACCTCGGATATCCTCATTCCTAATCTTATCCTTTCTCGTGTGCCCACACATCCAACGAAACATCCTCATCTCCACTACACCTACGTGTTAATGCTTCACCGCCCAACATTATGTGCCATACAGCATCGTCGGCCTTATTGTTGTCCTATAAAATTTTTCCTTGAGCTTCAGTGGCCTACGACGGTCACACAACACGCCGGATGCACTATTCTACTTCATCCATCCAGCTTGTATTCTATGGGTGAGATCTCCATCAAATTCTCCGTTCTTTTGCAAGATAGATCCTAGGTAGCGAAAACGGTCGCTCTTTGGTATTTCCTAATCTCCGATCCTCATCCCTAACTCATTTTGGCATCCGTTTGCACTGAACTTGCACTCCATATATTCTGTCTTTGATCGGCTTAGGCGAAGACCTTTAGATTCCAACACTTCTCTCCAAAGGTTAAGCTTCGCGTTTACCCCTTCCTGCGTTTCATCTATCAACACTATATCGTTTGCGAAAAACATACACCAAAGAATATCATCTTAAATATTAAGTTTGTGATCTTCGCTAGATTGCTCCGGTCATTAGTGTGGATAAGTATGTAAATGGATAGAGACAGGAAGCAAACACAAGATGTACGTGGTTCACCCAGATTGGCTACATCCACGGAGTAAAGGAGTTCTCATTAATTGTGAAGGGTTTACACAGTACATAGGTTCAAACTTTCCTTTAGTGAGTACAAGTGAATGATTTAGTACAAATGACATTAGGAAATTTGTTTAAGATCACCTTGAATGTTGAGCATATGGCACCGTGACCTGCCCTTCCTCTTTACTTTAAACTCTCACTAGTTAAGAGACCAGTTGAATGTACATACTACATATAATCCTCTAAAGAACCTTTTTCCAAAGGAGATGCATTGTAATTTCTGTACATCAATATACAGTGTATGTAAACAAACATGATAATATTGACAGTGGTTCAAGGATAAAATCACTGACACAGAGAGAACAAGTGTTGTTCTTCACGTAACAGAAGTGATAATAAAGAATGAAAATGCTGCAATGATACGTTAATTCAAATACCATATAAGATAAATTGTGTATATTTGTCACGCATGTTTAATCAGTACATACCTTTTGTTTTACTTCTGTGATGAGATAATCAGGTCAGATATTTTTAGCCGATTTTGACAAAGTCTTCTTGTGTTGAACTTCACAAACAATACAAGATCCCTGTTTCCTTCCCTCTCTTAAAATTACAAGACTCAGTGGTTTGAGCTTGTTCATGACTGTCAGGTTCTACTTTAATGATATTTCAGATGTTATGTTAGCTCTTAGTGTTGGGTGATAACTTCATTGGTCATACTGTTGTAAATCATCACTATATGTGTTTATTCGTTTGTTGATTATTAATGAAACTTTCGTAAGGGAACCTTTTTGTTTTCTGTAACATTTTTGACTGCCAAATTTTTTTAGTTCTCCATCGAAGTTAAGAGCATTCTCTTTTTGGTATTTTTACCTTGTGGTTGCTGATGCTGTCATAGTAACTGCTTTATAATTGCAGCCAAGTTTACATGGCTAGAGAAATAAAGACGGGAGAAATTGTCGCTTTGAAGAAAATTCGGATGGACAATGAGAGAGAGGGGGTATGTCATGCTTTTTCCTTCACTTATACCTTAGTTGTTTAATTTTTCTTGAGGAACTGGATTTCTAATACATTACCGAAACAAGAATGATCAGTATAGTTATTTAATATGCATACTCTTCTGAAATGTTTCCTGACCAGTTCCCCATAACTGCCATACGGGAAATTAAGATTCTTAAGAAGCTTCACCATGATAATGTCATCAATTTGAAAGAGATCGTGACTTCCCCAGGTATTAGATATTTATGTCTCTTGAGATTTTTACATAGTGTCTGTTACCAGAAGCAGTTTCTTGCATCTTATACTTTCCTTTAGATATCAATTAATCAGGGATGGTTTGGCAGGTCCAGAGAAGGACGAGCAAGGTAGACCAGGCAAGTAATCTATTTTTGTGTCTTATTAGCCTATTATGTCTATCTTTATCTTCATTGGTTTAAAGTTTGTTAAACACTAGCATTTTTTTCAGACTTAAATGGTTTGGCTTATCAAGTGCTGACTTGATCAACCTGTATTTTTTCGGTTGATTTTATTCTTGTTTGATAGCAAGTTAATTTCTAACTTAATCTGTTTTTGATGGAATTTCAGATGGTAATAAGTATAAAGGTGGCATCTATATGGTCTTTGAATACATGGACCATGATTTGACAGGTCTAGCTGATCGACCTGGGATGAGATTTTCAGTCGCCCAGATTAAGGTATCACAAACAGCAAGACTTGCAAGTTACTTAATCACCTACTATTTGAGGTTTGAAGCCTTATCTTTTTTCACTTTTTCTGTCTTACAGTGCTACATGAAACAACTTTTGACCGGGCTTCACTATTGTCATGTGAATCAAGTACTTCACCGAGATATTAAAGGTTATTATATAAGCAATTCTTCTGTCATCATTTCAATTTTGTTAGTATTATGAGCCCAACATTATGTTTTATATTTTTTGCGCAGGCTCTAATCTACTTATAGACAATGAAGGCAATCTGAAGCTTGCAGATTTTGGGCTTGCCCGTTCATTTTCAAATGATCACAATGCCAATCTTACAAATCGTGTTATTACTCTTTGGTACAGGTGAATATCTAATTCCCTTAAATGGAGGTTCTCCTTTAACTGTATTATTTTCTCTCATCTTGTGAAGTTTGCATTGGTTTCTGCAACCTATCTATAGATCTGAATTGATAACCTGCTTTTATGAATCATCTGAACTTACGATAACCTTCTTACAAGAAGTATCATTATGTTGGATATCTGTTGTATGTGTATAAAGGTATTTGTGAGTGGTCGACCATGTTTTATTTCACTGTTTTCTGTTTTGATGGAGTTATGGTAAATTTTCTGTTTTAGTTGTCCCGTGTTGTTTAGTTGATGCTTATTCTTTTGCGGGTCATCTGGAGTGTTGACTGGTCTTATTGGTAAGCATTGCAATTATGGATGTGAAGGCAATTCTTTATTGTGTTGTGGTGTGTTTATGGGAGTAGAGGGATGCTCGGACCTTTGAGGTTCATGATACTACCCATAATTTGAGTCAATTTCTGTTTGGTCTCTTTTTCGATTGATGTGAGTTCTGTTTGGATTATGGTCTTCTTTTAAGAGCTTTTGGTTTTTATAGATTTTATATCTACTTCTCTCTTTTTTGCTTGTTCTCTTCTTTGTATATGTCTCTCCCAACAGGAGCACTTTATTCTGTTTTATTCCTCAATAAGATTTTATACAAGCAAATAATTTGTGATATGTTTTGTTTGAACAGACCTCCAGAGTTGCTTCTTGGAGCTACAAAGTATGGTCCAGCTGTAGATATGTGGTCCGTTGGGTGTATCTTTGCTGAGCTTCTACATGGCAAGCCAATTTTTCCCGGGAAAGATGAGGTAATAACATTTCTGTTATAGGGTGGTTTTACTTGCTTTCTTGTATGAATTGATATGACAGCTTTGTAATCCTTGGATTTTCAAAAATGATGAATGTAGCTAAATTATTTAGCACTCATTAGTTTCAAAAACTAAAAATTGGGTCCAAGAAGGATACCAAACAGGCCATTAGTATCCTATAATACGGAAGCCAAAGCAATGTTGTGGGAGTGGTTTGGAAGTTTGGATTTAATACTAGTTTTAAGGGAACAAGGGGTTAGGAGATGGATCTTCATTGGGATACAATTGGCTTGTAAGCTTCCCTTTCGGCATCACTTTCTTCAGAATTTAGGCATTTTGTTTCAGGCTACACCTTATGATTGGAATTCTGCTGTAAAGTAGTTTGCGTTGGTCTTCCATGTATCTTTGTTGCGTAGTTACGGTTTGCAATTGTCAATACATCTTGTACATAATGGGATAAGCTTAGAAAGAGAAAAAAATAGTACTAAGTATTTCAACGTTGATGCATATTGCATACACTAATTGAGTTGACAAGTATGGATTTCTATGTGCTTTTATGCTACAAGAAGCTCTCATCGAGCATGTACAGTAGGACCAATAAGATTGTTTTAGTAGAGATTGAAAGATAAGAAGGGTTTTGAAACATTTTTTTCTTTTGTCTTTGGTTCAAAGGTTTTGACTCATAAACAAATAAATTTTTTATATGAAGTTTATTTGTCATAAAGGGGTCATAAGTTTTGAGTAAATTAATTTAACTTTTCTTTGGTGAAGTTCATTTATAATGCATAACATATGGTTTACGGCTTAAGATGATGTGGTTCTTTGTGTCATTTCATTATTTTGCCATCCTCTCGGTCTTTTTATTTTATGTTCTTTTACATTATCCGCTGATAATGGTTTTATTCTACTAAGAAAGCATTATAGTGTTCATGCTTTCCAGTGTTGACTGCTTGACCTTGAAAGGTCAAACTACTTTGTTCTTTTTGGTTTACCATAGAAGATGCATTTCTTACTTTCTCTTTGCTGTGTGTCTTATGTAGCTTCTATCATACTAGTATTTTCCTAATTTTTTTGACCTATCATTTCTTAAATTTTTTGATATATCAATTTAGTTACTTTGGGAATCCTGATGAGTTTTATATTTTGTTCTTTATTATAAAGAAAGTTTAAGTATGTATTTTATGCTTGCACAGTTATGATTTTGTTCACATTGAGTACTGTTGGTTAATCTTCATTCGTTGATACACACACTTTGGATGTTTAGCATTTAGCACAAAATAAACAAATTCCATGCATGAAGAAATGATCTACTTTATGATTATCCAATTATTCATTGCTCTTCTATGAAAACTCACCAGAATCACCACTTTCTGGTGTGGAAGCCTAGTATTTACCTTAAGCACAATAGTACCAAGTTTACAGCTAAAAAGTTAATGATTAGTTCTTATTTTGTGCAGTAGGTATTAGAAGCATTTTGAATTAGCCCTGCAGTGTTTAATGTAGTATGGTTTCATAATGACTGCGGGTTGGACCAAAGAAGTAGTTATAGTTAGTGTATTCAAGTTCTAGTGTTTTAACTTTTACTTCTGTTAACACGTCTACTAGTCACTTGGTCAGTCAGGATTCATTTCCAGTCCTCTGACATTCAGTTGAGGTACTGATTTGGCCATGGCTGTTTCGGGGGGTAGGGGAGTTAAGGGATGAAGTTTGTTTTTGGTTCCGCTCTTTGTGCTTCAGTCACCGTTTAATTCAGGGGTCTCTTGTTCTCTTAATATATGGAGACACCAGCAGGCTTATGCTAGTTTGGCCTATAGGAGAGAGGGTTTGCTAGAGTCTGAATTTTGGGTGAGAGACGGCTCTCGGCCCCTTCTTTGTTTTTGCTTGTCTGTTTCAGATGGCTTTGCGTGGTCTTCTTGACCACCGCCTTCCGTTCTTTTTTAATATATTCGTCTCTTTTAAAAAAAAAAATGCGGGGCACTGATTTCTACAAAAGTGGAATACAACAGTAAATTTAACAACAAAAAAGCACTAATATTTTTACATTGGTCGGTAACTTCCCTACGTCCACACCAGCCTCTCTATATTAGGTTTTGGTCACTCAATCAAATTAAGGTTTTACAAGTTATCCCAAAGTCATTAGAAACTCGCCAGTTTTCTTACAGGCCCAGTACCAGTACCTCTTAACAGATTCTTCAAATTTCTCATAGGGTCTCAACTCGAGATTCACAAGTTACAGGAACCCTCATTCCCTTTATTCCAAATGGATCCTGGTGTTGGCTTAAACTCTGTCGGAAATGAATATAAGTTAAGTAATTTGAATATAGCACTCCGAGTAAAAATTGAAACACAGAAATGTCTCCTCTTAGGGTATTTTGACCAGATTTTTACCTAATAGCCTTGGTCATTTACAATTTGGGGCTCTCTGCCAAGTCCTTTTTCAAACAGGACTTCATTTTGTCATTGCATTGCAGTGGTCCACTACAAACTTATAGTTGTTTGTTTCTACTTGAGTCCTTAATAATCCTACTCAAGTCCTTAATAACCCATCCTATGTTTGGCTACTATCGAAACAGAAGTGGAGCATATCCCGAACTCTGGCTCCAGAGATTATTCTAGTTTGGTCTCTAACCCTAACCTAGAATTTGAACTAGTAAGTTTGGCAATGTCCTGATCCAGTTTGATCTTTGACTATTATGACTCCACCTCGGTTCCACATTTTTGTGATATTGCTCTTGTGCGTATGTTATTGTTTAACATGCACACGTAAAAGGTATATAACTTTCCAACCTAAACTTTTAATATCTGCAAAAATATTTTCAACAATGTAATCCTTTTTTTTATTTGTAATCCTTGTAGCCAGAGCAATTAAATAAGATTTTTGAGCTGTGTGGAGCTCCAGATGAGGTCAACTGGCCTGGAGTTTCGAAGATTCCATGGTATAACAACTTCAAGCCCACAAGGCCACTGAAGAAACGTCTCAGGGATGTTTTCAGACAGTAAGTAGTTTACCTACTAGAGTTTTCAAATGTTCCATCATCAGCATGCCCGCGGGTCTTTGGCGGCTTTTGGCTTGTGTATATCATGTCTTATCTTTTCTTTGTTTGCTGTATAGTTTTGACCGTCATGCTTTGGAGTTGTTGGAGAAAATGCTGACACTTGATCCTTCTCAGGTACATACTTTCAGAGGATATTGTCCTCCTTCCTAATTGTGCATGAAAATATGCATGCATACTCACTGACATATTTCTCAGATTATATCATTTACAACTTACAAGTCATCTGTTGTCTTTTATCGAGTTAATCCACGGAAAATGCTATTCCTTTTGACTTACCCCTTGTAGCAATGGTAATATAAGTTGGGTTGGCATTGTGAGGAAGGATAATTGTTGCATACTGTACCAATATGATTAATGCTATTGTATTTACACAGGCTTCTGACCGACTGTTTATCGTTTTGTTGTGTTTGTGATTATTAATAATAGAGAATATCAGCTAAGGATGCTCTTGATGCCGAGTATTTCTGGACTGATCCATTACCTTGTGATCCTAAGAGGTTGGTTCCTTGTACCGGCAAAAAATTTCTTTTTACTTAGTTTTATGTTTTTTTGTTCTTTATATTTAGATTTTTAATAGTCACATGTTTTACATCATCTTTTGTTTTTGTTTTGACTGCAACCATTTTTTGGCTCAGTCTACCAAAATATGAATCATCACACGAGTTCCAGACAAAGAAAAAGCGCCAGCAGCAACGGCAACATGAAGAGAATGCAAAACGTCAGAAACTGCAGCACCCTCAGCAGCATACCCGCCTCCCACCGATTCAGCAATCTGGCCAAGCACATTCCCAAATGCGGCCTGGACCTAACCAACCTATCCATGGTTCTCAGCCCCCGGTTGCTACAGGACCTAGCCACCATTATGGTAAGCCACGCGGGCCCTCCGGAGGGCCAAGCAGATACCCACCTGGTGGGAACCCTGGCGGTGGATACAACCATCCAAGTCGGGGTGCTCAAGGTGGCGGAGGTGGGTACAGCAGTGGCCCATATCCTGCACAAGGGCGGGGAGCACCATATGGTTCTAGTGGCATACCTGGTGCAGGTCCTCGGGGTGGAGGCAGTGGTTATGGAGTTGGTGGCCCAAACTATCCTCAGAATGGTCCCTATGGTGGCTCTGCAGCAGGTCGGGGCTCAAACATGATGGGTGGAAACCGCAATCAACAGTATGGTTGGCAGCAGTAAATATGCACCTCCTTGGTACAAGAGAAGGGATCCGAGCTCGACGGTTTAGCAAGTGTGATTCGAAGGGTGGGAAGAGAAGCATCATTGAACCACTGCTAAATAATTTCTACGGGATGTGATTGATTCGTATGCAAAACATTCTCAAACCAGCTTTACGTTCAAACATGTACCCGTTAATCCGTTACCTAGTTAGAAAATATGAAGAAAAGCGGGAAGATGCCGAATGAGTTGTGTTTGAGTTATGCATACCATCCGAGGTTAGGTTGTACTTAGGCAGAGTCTGCAGGAGTGCTTGCTGTGTGGTTTAAAGTTTAAGCTTTTCATACAGTTTTGGCTCTAATTTAATCTGGAAGCTGTGACCATGTACGATACTTTTGAATTTTCGGACAAAATTATGAGACAATTTATTGCAAAGACATACAAATAATAGTATCGTTTAATAATTTAGTCCAATGTTATCAGTATTCCCTTCTTTCTTTTAATTAGGGATGTGTTCAACTTTCGGGTGCCAAGAGAATCGCTAGCAAGGCTCGCCACTATAGTACTCGCTAGCCACGTGGACTTGAGAATCTAATACGTCATAAGATATATACAATTAGTGAACATAAAACTCAAAGAAGATTGGACCATAAGTTAAGAATTTTTGAAATCTCTAAATGCACTTGATTTTCGTCCGTCTGGGTAATGCAAGAGAGACTAAATGTATAAACTAAATAACGTGAAAATTAAACCAAATCTGGCCCATCAAGTTTTCATTATTATCTTACAATTTTCTCGCTTCGCAATGAAGCTTTGAATTAAATAGAACATTTGTACACTCAAGCTTCCTTGACAGTAAAACACAGCTTCTACATTTCCATGGAGCTAGCAAATGCTAAGCAGAGTTCTCCAACAGAGATAGAAGCGGAATGGGTGCAGCATATCACACAAACGATGTAGGTAAAGAGAGGAGAGAAAGGAATATTGGTATATTCCTTTTAACTTTTGATTAGGGGTGTTGTAATGAGATTACAAACATCCCTCTATTTATAGGGAATTCCACCTGACAACTTCTTTACATGCATAGAGAAAAAACTTACACCAAAAACAAACTTACCGCCTTAGAGCATCTCCAAAGGAGATGTCAAAAGGTCCACATCATCAATAACAGTAAAAAGAAACATCACTATAATTTTCCAACCGAAATGTCAAATCTTACATGGCATGACATGGAAAGGCAGCAGGAGGGGTTGCTGTCAAATTTGATAACATCTTCAAATAATTTTTAATTAATTACTAAATCTTTTTTATTAATTTTTTTGCCCTCTCTCGCTCTACCCATCTTCCTGTTGAACCAAGACCAAGTTCACTGCAATCACAAAGAAAATCTTTGATTTTCCATCTATCACACACTATGTGGACCAATTTCGACAAAAAAATTATCGCTTTCAAATACCCCCAAATTGAAAAACCATAGTCTCCACCATATGTGAATCCAGCACCTCCACAATGCCCCAATGCCCAATCCAACTCACTGAAGATGACTTACGCCAGAGACAAAGCGGAAGCAACAATGATGATGGTGGAGGCGGATTTCATATGAACTTGAGCTTTGCAACTCATATTTTTTAATGTTGGAGGTGCGATAATTTCAAAGTATTTGTTATTATGTTTTTATTTTAGTTTATTTTAACATCTTTCACTTTTCACTAAGTCGTGCTGAATAAAATTTCAAGTTTGATTTACAAACGAACCGAATTCAAACTTGAAAAACAGTTATTCGAGTCAAGCTTGAACAAATTATTTCGAGCTTGAGCTTTAGCTTTAAGGATGAGTAATATCATCTCAGCAGAACTTGAACACCTTATCACTAGTCTTTGCTCAAATTATACAACTATAAATAAATATAAAAATTTATAATTAATTTATCACTAAATTATTTTATATATACATTTTTTTTTGAAATACTAAATAAATTACAAATAGAATCCTCCGTAGATCCTTCATGGCTGATTCAACAATGTGTATAAATTTAGTATGTACGTTCATGGGCTGGGCCAAAACTCATGGGTTTCCAGGCGAGTTGGGCTGCAGGTAAAAAAAAACTACTGGGCCTCTAGTCCAGTATCCTTTCATGGGCTGGGCCAGCCCAAATTGAAATTGATGCCGAATGGAGAGAAACGCTCGTAAAAAGAAAAGAAAACTATTGAAAAGTAATAAAAAAGACTTTAGTTTTAATGAAAAATGATAAATAAAGGTGTAATGAATAATACTAGGATAAGGTAAAAATGTGATTTTTCGTTAAAAGTGAACAATACTTAAAGTATTTCGTTAAAACTCTATAAAAATAATTATATCGCTAATGAAAAATCTAAAAAAACTTTAGTTTTAATGAAAAAAGACAAATAAAAGTGTGGTGAATAGTACCAAGAAAAGGGAAAAATGTGATTTTTCGTAAAAAATGAATAATACCGAAAGTGTTTCGTATTCATAAAAGAAAAGGAAAACTAATGAAAAGAATTTAAAAACTTTGAGTTTTAACAATAAAAATAAAATAAAAAGTAAAGTAAATAATATTATAATTAATTTTTTTAGTATAAAAATATAATTTTTCATTAAAATTGAACCATAGGAAATTGGCATTTAGCGAGATTCCTTTAAAGTTGTCGTAAAAAGAATAGATCACCGCCGTCAATTGAACCATAGGAAATTGGCATTTAGCGAGATTCCTTCCTTCCGGTTGGTTTCTGTCTCTCGTCATCGTCACTAACTAGTCTGCTCCGCCTCCTCCGTCCGCATCGTCCCATCGATTCCGGCCGTATTGACACCTCCATAACTCCATAAGCAACAAGCAAAAGCAGCTACCTTGGAGCCACAGACACACAGAGGATTGAATTTGATTCGAGGAGAAGAAAACAAGGTAAACATGCAACCTACTCAATCATTCATGTTTGTTTTTTTATTTATCTTTTTATTTATTTGTTAGGGTTTTCTTGTCCTTGTTCTGAATCACATTGTGGGTGTGCTTGTTTATCTAGGGTTTTCTGCCATTAGGGTTTCATTTCTCAAATTTGTAAACTCAGTTGATCTGTTTTATATTTCTGACCCTAGAATAATTTGGGGTTTTGTTTTGTTATCCTTTTCAAAGGAATTGGATTTCTGTTGTGGTTGTCTTACTTACAAACCAAAGTTGTGGTTTCCTTTGTATTTAGGGTTTTCTGATTGTTTGTTTGTACCATCAGTTCTTCCGGTTCCAGTCATAATTGACTGCTTAGTATTATAGTGTGATTAAGTGAGTTTCAAAGTGTGGATTGTATAGCGTTTGCATTTATATGTGTGTCTGGATGCTACTGTAATGTCATTGCATGCGCGTTTCCGGAAATTCCATGACCCGTTTTTTCCTGGAGTACTTAGAGCTAATGGAACACTTGGTGCAAAACGAGCGCAATGGCATTCTAGGATTGATATAGTGACCACACTTAGTGGGATAAGGCTTTGCTGCTGTTGTTGTTTGTCTGAATTTTTTTTTTTCCCGTTTTGTTTTGCTGTTCAAGGCCAAAAGAAATACATGGGAAAGGAAAAGACTACAGATTTGGAGTTTGAAGCAAGGAAAGAGAAGAAAAAGTTGAAGGAGAAAAGGAAGATAGATGAACCTGGTAGAAATTCCGCTTCGATTGAAGGCTCGGAGGACAAAATAAGTGAGGCAGTTCAGGTGGAGAAATTTGACAAGAATGGTGAAAGTGGAGAAGGGGTCAAAATGAAAAAGAAAAGGAAGAGGGAAATGGAGGGGTTCGATGGTGGATTGAAGTTGAAGCAGAATGATGTACAGCAGCTTGGAAATGATAAAGAGAAATCCAATGAATTTGACAAGAATGTAGGAACTGATAAGGAAAGTGGGGAAGGCAGTGGTGGAACTGATAGAGAAAGTGGAGAAGGGGCCAAAAAGAAAAAGAAAAGGAAGAAGGAAACAGAAGGGGTCAATAGTGAATTGAAGTCGAACCAGAGTGATGAACAGCTGCTTGGAAATGATAGAGAGAAATCCAATGAATTTGACAAGAATGTTGGAACTGATAAGGAAAGTGGGGAAGGCAATGGTGGAACTGATAGAGAAAGTGGAGAAGGGGCCAAAAAGAAAAAGAAAAGGAAGAAGGAAACAGAGGGGGTCAATAGTGAATTGAAGTCGAACCAGAGTGATGAACGGCTGCTCGGAAATGATAGAGAGAAATCCAATGGGAAAATCATGGAAGAAGCTGACATTGCAGATAACGAAAAGAAGAGAAAGAAACTATCTGAGGATGACGAAATGGGCGATGCCAAAATGAACAAAGGAGAACTGAATAAAAAGAAAAAGAAAAAGAAGAAGGAGAAGACAGAAATGGTGGGCAGTGAATCGGCACAGAACATCGTAACTGATGGAAAGGAGGCTGGAGTAGAAAGTAAGCATTCAGATGGGCAAATCATGGAGAAGGGTGGAATCATGAAAAAAGAGAAAACAAAGAATAGTAAGAATTCAAGAAGTGAAGTGCAGGAAACTGGAGGTGAGAAATTGGGCAGCAAAAGCAGAACTCAAGAAAATAATTCCTTAGAGAATGACGGTAATGTTCATGGAACTGGAGACGAGATAAGCAACAGAAATACAGAGGATGAAAATTCTACACAGAAAGAAACATCAAAAAGAGTACATTTTGCTGATGATATTGAGGTCTTTTCACTGTCTGATGGCTCAAAAGATGCAGAAGTGGGCAAGGTACGAGGTAAGCGGTTTTCAGCAGAAGAAGACGAGCTTGTGAAAAAGGCTGTTTTAACATACATAGAGGAACATCAGCTGGGTGACGAAGGCATTGACATGGTACTCAATTGTAAGAATTACCCTGAAATCAGAAATTGTTGGAAGGATATTGGGGAAACCTTACCCTGGAGGGATAAGAAAAGCATATATTATCGAGCCCATATGTTATTAGAACGAGCTTCAGAACGTACTTGGACCAAGGAAGAGTATGAAAAAGTCAGACGTGCTGCTAACGAAGCTAAGGAGAAAGGTGAAGCCAAACCCAACTGGAGAAAGGTGGGTAATGAACTTGGCAAACATAGAATTCATGTCAAGGATGCATGGCGTAGAATAAAACTGCAAAACATGAAGACAGGAGTGTGGTCCCAAGAGGAGTACCAGACTTTGTTTGATTTAGTGAACAAGGATCTGCGGATGCGGGCATTGGAAGAAAAAAAATATTCCAAGCATGGGATGCTGCGAGATAATATTAAGTGGGAGGCAATCAGTGAGACTTTGGGCACCAGAACCAATCCTGTTTGTTGCCAGAAGTGGTATAACCAATTGGCTTCACCTTTGGTAGCTGATGGTCAGTGGGCTGATGTTGATGACTACCGCCTAGTTTACGCTCTTGACAGCTTGGATGCTTGTTGCATGGAAGAAGTTGATTGGGATGATCTGCTTGAGCATAGGTCTGGAGATGTATGTAAAAAGCGATGGAATCAAATGGTCAGACACATTGGTCAGTATGCGATGAAGTCATTTGCAGAACAAGTTGAAATTTTGTCGAAACGTTATTGTCCTGATGCGCTTGAAGCAAAGGAAGCCTGTGACAGTAAGCCAATAGTCGAGTAAGGTTTATTTGGCATCAAATTAGCTGATATATGTTTGATAGTGTTGAACATTTAGTTTGAGCGAGTTTTATTTGGTATCAAAACTGGCTATATTAAGTTTCGCTTTTTGTTTTTAAGCTTTTGTTTCAAACTGGTTATGTTGAAGAACTCTCCTTGCCGTTTGTTTGACAGTCGTGTTCATCCATTGAGAAAGGGAGACGATTTTCATGTCTATCGTTCTGGATGCGGGTTAACTGCTTGTTTTCAACCATTTTGATTGAGAACAATATTTTGTCAAATCGTAGGAGTGTCATACAATACAGTAGCAACCTTCTTGTTTTGGTTTGTACTTGCTGCCTCAAGACTCTAGTTTTCTCCTTTTCCTCTCTAGGATTCAGTTGTCCTATATACATATATTATGATTCCTTGGCTTCTAAGGAGTCCGTTTGTTTTCGGGCAGATAAGTTTTCTTTAAAAATTAGGACTTTGTAAATTTTGTACTGTTATTCTATGATCTCACCCATGAGCGGTAGGTCTCGGGTTCGAGACTTGGAAGCAGCCTCTGCATAAATGGGGCTAAGGCTAGCCGACATTCACCTCTCCCAGACCCTGCGTAAAGCGGGAGTCTTGTGCACTGGGTACGACCATTCTATGATCTTGTTTAAAAAGATAAGAGTCCTTTCAATCAAGATTCTAAAAAACGTTAGCCACTAGTCGGACAACGGGTTAGGGCCTAGCACCTAGGCGGATTTAAGTAAATCTATTGCATTTCGTAAAAATAAGTGTCTACTTATACTTAATATATATATATATATATATATATATATATATATATATATATATTCATCATAAACTACAAAACAGAATGACATATATATTATGAAATATTAGAACATAATGAAAACTTGGGGAACAATATAATGTGTGTTTATTTAAGTATGCAACAAGTCTCTTACAATTTACTGAAAAAAAATAAAATGCAAACATAAAGTTATCTATTTTCTGTTTAAGTGAGTTACGACCAAGGTAGGTCTAGGCGGGATCCCTCAGCAAGTCTAGGCGCTCTCTCTTAATTTTCAAACGCATAGGCATTAATCGGGACAGTGACTAGCCGCCTAGGTGGGGATTTTTAGAACAGTGCTTTCAATAAGGATCATCGATATTTCTCAGTTTTACTAATACATATGTTTGTGCATGCACAAGTATGTGATTTAATTTGAGATCACATTTTTTTTAGAAGAAACTATAACAGTTTATTAAAATAGAAAAGTGGAATTACACTGAAGTGGATAAGAAATCCACAAAAAACAAAACAAGAAAATCTCTCAAGAGGATCTGATTACAAGTAGCAAAACCTCAACCAAAATCACTTTACGGCAGCTTCACAATATGTGAGAAAGAGAGTAATTCTTAAAATCATTTGAAACTAAAGCCCAGAGGGCTGCCCAATATCTTACTCTTCCCCATAGATCTGCTACCCCCACACCGTATAATCCTCAAAAATTCTTTTGTTACGCTCCAACCAAATGTTTCAAAAAACTGCTGACACCAGACAACCCCACAAAGCTTTGGCTTTCCTCCCAATTCCTAGATCCTCAAAATTGGTGCTTAGAAGCTCGAAACAACCATTTGGAATGTCCCAACTAACTCTAACCTCCTGAAACAATTTCCACCACAGTGGAATTGTGCAAGAACAATGGAGAAAAATGTGGTTAACATTCTCCTCCTTAGCTTTACACAAACTGCACCAATGGGGAGATAAACAAATAAAAGGGCTTCTCCTTTAAATTTGATCACAAGTGTTGAGCTTCCCATCCAATTTTGAGATCACATTAGATCAATGTATAGGTTTTGTGCTCAACTTGGAAGGATGATGGATCCACTGTGTTCTCTGGTGGTTGTGACAAGCAAGTTAAGAGTGGCCTTTGGCTGCTAACCAACCAGTGACCATTACATACATGATGCACCCATAAAAGAGGTTGCTTGGGATCCCGGAGGAATGAACTACTTAGTTATAATTAAAAACTATAGTTACAATCAAGATATTCGCCGATTTCTCCCTGAACTTGTAAGGAGCTATCAAATTTTTACCTGAACTTTAATTTTAATTGATTATCCTTTAAATTGTTATAATTGGCTAATTTCTCTTTGAATTGTAATTTTAGCCTTACTCCTTGAATGTTTATAATTGGCCAGTTTATAGTAATAAGGTTGTTGAGATGAGTAATTACTTTCTTATTTGAATTGGAGTCTTGAATTGAAATTGGTGAATCGAAATGGTTATGTGAATCAAATGACAAAGAAGGCTAATGAAATGAAATCACAACCTCAACATGTTGGTGAAAAAGCAATGGCATCACAATCCCAACACAGTGGTGAAAAAGCAAGACCGTGGAGAAGATTCTTTGATGTCCGCATTAGAGGTACAATTCAAACAAAAAATGTATGGAGTAAATTAGCAGAAGGGGAGAAGAAGAAAATAAAAATGATAAGTTGTCCATATTAGGGATAGAATTACTTTTTTGCCCTCAAGAATGTGCCGTGCACATGATCAAAGTGGATGAAAATTTTCAAAATCTAAACGCTTGGGGCGAAATTGGTCAATTATAAAAATTCAAATGTGTAATTGATTACAATTAAAATCCAGGACAAAAATAAACCGCTTTATACAAGTTTTGGTGAGGAATCGACAACTACCTCTTTGATTAAAGTGTTGGAAATTGAACTGAATATACTTACCAAACTTCAAATTAATTCACATAGCTTTCAACTTTTTACTCTTACCTACTTTGACCACAATCAAATCAAAACCAAATCAAACCTCAAAATCTCCATTCTTTTGTCTTCGGTTTTTTTAATTTCTCACATGTAATAAATAATAATGATGCGAACAAAGCCTACTTTAAGAGTACAACAAATTGAAGCGAAAGAAACGTCCAACCCGAAAAAAGAATAAACCAAAACAAAATATTAACTCACGAGCATTGATCCGCTTACCCATCTCAATTCTTCACCCACTTTTCACTTCCCATATTTCCCCAAAAGGATACACATCTTTTTTCTGGGGATCATAGGAATTCCATGATCATCACCGTTCATTGTACACAGAGTGTTTAACTTTCTTTAGGGACTAATTACATTTAATTTTAAATTTTAAATTTTAAAATGATTTATAACCATGTAATGTACGATGAACGATCCTTATCACAGAATCCTTAGAATCCCCACCCAACCCCGGCATCTGATTGGCCCGTCACCATGGGCTTGTTGTCGGTCGGTGACAGCCCCCAGCGCACAAGTTCCGTGTTTGTGTAATCTCAAAGCAATAAAATAAACAAAAATTAATTTAATTAATTAATTAATTTAGAAAATAATCAAAAATTAATTTAATTAATTAATTAAAAAGATACATTTCCACATAGAGACGAGAAAGTTAAACAAGCTCGCTCTTTCTTTCCAAACATTCCCCGCAGAATTCATCTTCTCTTCTGTGTGCGTTGCATATTCCTGGCATCTTTGGGAAGTTCGGATTCCCATCGAAGCACGAAAAGGAAGGTTCCGGAATTCGAATTCTCCTTAAATTCCCAAGATTTCTGTATTGTTTCGATCAGATTCTGAGAGTGGTGGGAATTTGCTGTGCTGCCGTGACTGTGGATCTGACCCAATCGAAGCCTCAGATCAATGCTCTGTTCGGAGGCAGTTTAGGTCCGTTCGTTGCTGCAATTCGGTTAGTAACGCTCGAATTTTTCCGTTTTATTGCAGCTCAATTTTTGGTTGAGAGTTCAGCAAGATCTGAGCTCTGTCTGCGTTTGTATTGTTTCTGGTTTTATTTTAATTGATTCGATTTAGGGTTTCTGTGAGGATCTTAGCTGGTTTTGAGGTTTGTGTATGGTTCTGGTTGTTCTAAAGGCAAGATCTGGTTGAATTATGCTGATTTGTGAGTGGTGGATGAGTTTGTTGAGGTGTTTGATCGGATTGAGCTGCCATTTGCCTTCTGTTTGGTTGCAAAGAAAGTGTAGGATAGGATAAAGAAACGAAAGGTATATTATAAACATGGATTAATAATATGGTCTTATTGGGGATTGGAAGGCATGTTGATTTGGTAGGCCTGAACTCTGAAGTATGCATTTTGAGAGTTTTATCTTTTCGCGTGTAGCTCGTTATGAATGGTTATGATAAGATGAATATTTCACCAAGAATGCTTGTTAGTGTTTAAGAGGGCATGTGATTATGGGATGTTTGTGTTAAATTCTGGATTTTTTTGGTTTCTTTTTTGTAGATTTTGCTTGTTGTGTAGAGTGTGACTGAGGGCGGGGCAAACTGATGAATAAAGGGATGATAGAATGTAGTGTATGCCATTCAAAGATTGTTGCCCCGAACAGTAAAACTTTCTCCAGGGCCTATGACCGCCACAAGAGCAGGGTGTCGTCCAAGCAACGTGTTCTCAATGTCCTCTTGGTCGTTGGTGATTGTATGCTTGTCGGTTTACAGGTTCGTTTTCATATTTGGACTTATTTTTCTCATCTTTCATGGAAATCAAATGATTGGTTACAAGGAGATATACGCAAATTCAAGTATAGAAGTTTATTACATGGTAGCTCGTAGCTGTATGTTCTGGTACATGATTTTATGCTTATAAGAAATGATGTGTGAAATCCGGAATTTTTAAAACATATAAGTGATATTTCTGCATGATTGAACATGTTTGAGCATGTTTTCTCAACTACTAAGGCTGCTACCAATGTCTACAGTATTCTTCTACTCAAACTAGCATGAACACTGCCACTACCATCATCATTCCCATAGAGGCCACGATATTACTATTGATTACATTTCCATCTATCTTTTTTTTATCTCCGTTACATTAATGGCTCCTGTAATTTTGTTGAATTTGATCTCCTGATTCAACATATCAGTTTAATTTGCTTGTTTTGGACTATGAAGATGAGTACCGTTGTTTGGAAGCATATTAAAATTGAAATCAAGTTGATCATTCATATTGCAGAGATAGTAGCACTAACAACTGTTTCAAAAAGTCCTTCAGGAAATGTATTCTTGCTTGTGAAAACTTGATTTGAGTTTATGAATGAACCTGCAAGCTGTTGCTATAAAGTTTTTGGGCAGTTCTTCATTCCAATGTCATTATTACCTGACATGCTTACATTTTTACTTTTGAATCAGCCTATTCTGGTTTATATGTCCAAGGTCGATGGAAAATTCGAGTTTAGCCCGATTAGTGTAAACTTTTTGACAGAGGCTGCAAAGGTTCTATTTGCTGTCGTTATGCTATTGTT